CGGCCAAAATTATGTATAATGCGGGCCAGAATTTTGTCGGTCACAGCCGTTGGCCAATCAAAATCGAGAATCAACCGGTGCACCTATCTGCTTTATCCCACGCGGATCCCGCGCGTGACGCGCGGGATTTTTGGAAAAACCGCAATTTACTCATCTCTACCTCCGATAGTTATAAACAACTCCCTTCGTTTCTCTAAGTCTATATTTATCTCCTCATACACCGTTGGAGTTAAATTGGCCTTCTATCCATATTATTTCATAAGCTCTCCAACAACGGTTACAATATCCAGAGTCGAGTGTATCAGTAATATTTTGACAAAGCAATTCATATTTCAACTCTAATTTTAATTGTTTAATGGCAATATTTCATGAATGACTAATCCGTTTTGTGCCATCTTAAAATAGATACTGCATTCGTTTGAGCGAAATTGGATCGGCAATTCTCGATTTATAGAATGCATGATGTGAATAGATCTTTTTGCGACCGCCGTAAAAATGAGATGTGAATAACGAATTGTAAGTGTTTCATTGTTAATTAATCATTATATTTGTCTACTAATCGACAATAACGAGAAAATAAGGAATAGGGAGCCATCTTTTTTTCAATTTAATTGTCACACTGTTAGAGTGGATCAAAAAAAATTAAAAAAAATTTAAAATAATCTGTCCTGATTCTGAATCATATCGATCAAGATTTTGCTTCTATAAAATAATAAAATCAATAAAAAAAAAAAAAACTATATTTTTAAATGCTTGTAATGACATTAATCGAGGCAAAAGCCTGTTAAAGCGATAAAGGTACAAGCTAGTGCGTTCGTATGGTTAAACATATATCATATTACATATGAATATAGTGCTATGTGATGCAATCTCGTGAAGTCTAAATGCAGAATTTCACGTTTTATTGCATTTTTTGCATTTAATACATAGGCCAATTAATTGAGATTTTGTGGCTAAAAATGCATATGAACCATATAGTTTGTGATATTATATATCATCCCGTTCCTTGTATAATAACAATAAATTTAAATTTACGGTTCGAAGTTTTTCTTGGCAGTAATTATATAATTGATGAAATTATTATCTTGCACAAGGCATATTATTTATTAAATTAATTACATCACATTCTTGATTTTAGCACAACATGTTGCGCAGCTAATTTTTTTTTGGTTTGTTGTATTTCGGGATATTTAATCTGAACCAAGAATTTTAGAGTTGTAAGTGATCCTCGGCCCAGGATTTTTTTAACATAGAGGTGCCCACATGATCGTGTCTGTGTGTACAGCAGAGACAGTGCCCGATCCCTCTCGCCTGCGATCAATCAGATTAAATTATTTATTGTGATAGATATAATTCTTCAGCAGTTTTAATATATAACAGTAACGGTTTTTGCTGTAGTCTGTGTGAGTTTTCGTGGAAAAATTGTGATGCCTATGATTGGAAATATTTTGTATTACCATAAAGATATAAAAGTTTTGTCATGTTAGGTTAACATAACCTCTTCACATAATGCCCGGATAATGATATACACTGTTTACCATACAATCTACTCAGGGGTATGTATCAAATATTTATTTTATCAATTTGAAATATAAAATATCCCAGATACATGATTGTTTTGGTTCTGTACAATACCATGTGCTACGCAGCTACTTATATATATAAGCAATACAAATATACTAATTATAGCATTATACAAATTGTAATTTATTTACAGTATATTTAATTCTAATATATATTATTTAGTATATTAAAATTCCTATTAGCAAAATTAAAAGTAAAATATAGTAAAATTTTACTATTTTTCATCATCAAGTCTACTTAAGCTAAGTTTTCTACGTAATTTCATTAATTCAAGTTTTTCTCTTTCTAGTTTAAGTTCTCTTTCTTTAATAGCTAATTGTCATTCTTTTTCATCTAAATTTGCTTCAGTAATATTAGATGAATTTGTTATAGATTCATTTTCAATTTTAACTTTTTTAGTTTTTGTTTGAGATTGAATAATATTTGTTGTAGTTTGTTTTTCCTTTCCTTTCTCTTTTGATTTATTTTTTCTTTTAACTATTAAAAAAATTGTTTAAATTATAAATAATTAATTAGATTATGATATTAAATTTATTAAATATACAAACCTGCTCTTTTAATAGATTGTTTTTCTCTTGTAATTAAACTTTTGTTTTTTCCAGTATTTGATATTCCATAATTTTTTTGAATATTACAAGTTATAAAGTGCCTTTCATCATAAAATTTTGCTCTATATAAATTAATAATTATTTAGTTAAATAATATTTAAATATTATTTTTTAAAATTATTTTTAAAAATAGATAAATTACTTAATAATTGCATTAAGTAAAGATAATGATTTTTCATCTCTATTAATATTTGCATGACATGACTCTGCAACATTAGTATTGTCAGGTGTTATATCCCAAATTTCAGTATCAATAAATGAAAATTCAGAATTTAATGATGCTTTCACCCATGAAGTTGAATAAAAATTAATCCAATCTAATTAAATATAAATTATAAATTAATTTTAATAATTATATTTTAATTTTTTAAATTATTTATAATTTACCTTTAATATTTTTTTCATTTGATGCCAATAATAATCTAAAAATTTCATCAACTCTATTAGAAGATGAATTTGGTAATTCATACATCAATTCTTTAAGCTCTTTTGAATATTTATTGTTTTTAATATTTCTAGTAATTTAAAAAAATAAATTAGTTTTTGTTATTAATAATATATAAATAAAATAAAAATTTTATATACCTATTATAATGAATTCTGCAACTTTTAAATATATGACAAAGATGTTGTTTCCAACTTAATGATTTTTCTATTTTATGTAAAGCAGTACCTAATCCTTTTGCTTGTGCTTGGTCCAAATCTCCAAATATGCATTTCCAACCATCATTATAAATATGATAAAATTTTGGATAATTTTTAGTCAATTTATAGATCCAATTGAATAAACCTTCAAACATTTGTTCATATGCTTCAGAACTCATTATATTAGTAAATACTCTAGCATATATAAGAGCTAAAAAATAATTAAAATTAATAATTAAAATTAATTAATAATAAATTATAAATAAATTTTTACCAATTTTATAATTTTCATTATAACAATTAATTTCAAATTCATTAATATTTCCTTGTACTCTTTTGAATGATAGATCTATTTCAAAATATTGAAGTTTTAACCATTCTTGAGCTTGAATTTCAGAAATACATATAATCATGATATGTCTATTAGCAAATGTAGCTATAAATTTAACAATTTTAATATTAAATAATATTAATAAATATTATATTAATATGAATTTAAATAATATAAAATTTTACCTGATTGCTGAACATATCCAAGTAATTCTTGATTACCTGACCAAATATTATAAGTTAAACCTAATAATCCTTGTCTATATAGATGTTTTAATTTTTGAACTTTTGTTGCTTTAATTAGATTACCTATTTGAAATTTAAATATTAAAAATTAATTTATTAAAAATTTTAAAAAATTAATTAATATAATAATAAAAAACTTACTAATTAATTTATTTTCTGTAATATCAGTAGAATAACTAGATTCTGTTTTAATTAAAGTTTTTAATTTGTTTAATACCTCTAAAGGTATTTGTGATGGAGGTGGTGGAGGATGATGATGTATGCCTTGACAAACTAATATAATATAAGGAACCTTTTTTAAAACTAAAGGTATTAGTTTATAAAATTTAACATTGCAACTCATTTAAATTATATTTCCTTCATTAATAGAACCATCTAATTGTTTGTGTAAAAATCCTAAAAAATATAATAATATATTTAATATTTAATTAAATTTTTAAAATTTTAAAATAAATTTATTTACCACATGTTTTTCTTTTAGAATTAAAAGAAAATATAACACTGCATAAATTATTTTCATTAGATAATGAAAACTTAAATAATAAAATTAAATTAATATAATAATTAATTAAAAGATTTAATAAAATAATAATTTAAAATACTTACTACTTCACCTTTAAATAATTTTTTTAATAATAAAAGATCAATTTCATAATTAAGATAATAAAAGAAATTTAATCCTTTAGATTTTAATTGCCATTTTGTACATCCAACAAACCAATTATCTTTAGAATTTAGATTAAGTTTAGCCTTTTTCTTAACAATAAATTGTCCATCACAATTATAATTATCATAAGGACATTTTTGATCAAGTAATGCTAAATATTTTCTATAAAAAAAATTTAAAATTAATTAATTATAAATTAAATAAAATTTTAAAAATATTAGCTTCTTTAGTTCTTTGATTATTAAAATCTTCATCCATTGATTGCTCAAAATCTTTTTCCATATCTACTTCATAATGTGATTTATTTTTAATTTTGTTATCTAGATATTTACATACTTTAATACCTTGACAAGTATAATGAGTTTTTTTGACCAAGGTATCAAGAAATGGACAGTAAATATCAGAATCTCCACCACCACTTGGTTTACCAAGATTATATTGCATCTATAAAAATAATTAAAATTAATATTTAAAAATATTGTAACTAAAAATATAATAAATAAAATAAATAAAATAAATACATTATTTGTAAATGCAAGAATATTATCTCATGCTTCAACATTATATATAATTGCTATACCATTCTCTGATGTTGGAGGATATTCAATAGAAAAAATACTATGAATAATTTCATTTACTCTTAATTGCCCTGTCATCAAATAAATTTCATCATCTTGTTTATTATTTAGCAAATTATTATCCAAATAATTATGCTTTTCAAAATTAATTGGTGGCTATAAAAATTAAAAGATTTTATATTAATAAATAATTATAATTATATAGATTTAAAATTTATTATTAAAAATTTAAAATTTCAATAGTAAATTCTAATATATATGAATATATAATATTTTTTACCATAGAGCTAGAACATTCACTATAATTATCATGAAAATTATTAACAACTTCTTTAGTATATTGAAAATCTTCAGACAAATCATCAATATATGTCACAGAATTATCAAACATCTCAAAAGAATCATTATAATCTAAGCTAATTTCTTAAAATTCATTAATACTGTCATCTTTAATTGTTGTATCAGATAAATGCTCATCACTTGAAATTGATATTGTTTCGAAATCTATTATAGTTTATGATACGTAGTAATGCTCAAAAAGAATTTTTAATTCAATATAAACAAAACGGCAATAATTTTATATTTATTTTATTGGTTATTTTTTTAAACTAATTAATATACATATTGATATATATATACGTATATAATTAAATAAATATATACATACGTATATATCAATATGTATGTATAGTTAAATTAAATATATTTAAATAAACTAACTAAAAAAAGTTTAATTATGCATATGCAATTATAATATGTATAATGATAATAACCTTTTAACTAATTATATCATAATAGAGATATTTATATTATCCCGAATGGTTGCCATCCCTAATATACAATAAGAGATCTGCAAGATCTGCTCATATAAGTAATTGTTCTTGTGACTACGTAACATATCTTTTTTTTAGCGTTGGGTCATCT